CAGCACCACAAAACAAACAAAAAAGTACAATTTTTTTCTCTTTTATCATGAATGTGTTTAAGATTAGGTATATAACAATTTAAAGGAAGAGTTTGAAAAAGAATAGCTAATTAGGTGATGTGTTTCCTTTATAACATATTCATAAAGCAGCAAAAAAGGTATACTTCCAAGCTTTTAACGATCAAGATTACAGAGAGTTGATAATAAACCCAAGTACAATTACAAAGAAAATTTTGTAAGCAAAGTCTCTTCGAAAGAATTGTCCTTGTTCTCCTAAGACAGAGAATCCTTTATAAGATTCCCAGTTACTTTCCACAATTTCATTCATCTCTCTCCCTTCTAAGAAGAGATACAGGGCATTTGTTACTAGAAATTTGAGAAAAGAATCTGGTTCTGAATTCAGCTGATAGAATTAGCATTTTCTTTAAGGGAATATGAGAGCTGCTAACCATTTATATAGTATTCTTGATAGATTCACTCATCTATGATTTTCCTTTTTACCTATACAGTAGTTGGAACTTTTCCTAGAGGCTATTGTCTTTTATAAAGTCACTTGAAAAGCACATATAATATGATATAAAGAGAATCAATTAATTCCTTACCTAAGAAGTTTCTGAAACAATGTGAACATAAAATTGTGTCATTTCAGAAGCTTTCGTAAGAATTGACCACAAAATTCAATAATTTTTCTGACTTGCTGTGAAGTTATGTATTTAATTTCACTTAACTTAGAAAAATCTCAAGCTTTTCCAAGCTAGTGAATTAACACATGGCCAAGATTATCAGACACAATTTTTTTTTTTTAAAGAAAGTTTTTCCCTTCTGTACCAGTTTTGCATTTGTGATAATTTGTTGTTTGGAACACTGGTGCTATTTCTGTACCAATGAACTAATATATGTTATGAAAGCATTTACTATACCTAACAAGTCCAAAATCAATCCTAAATACTCTTAGCTATGATAAAAACAGAATAGCCTAAAGAAATGGTATTTCACCAGGATCATTCACTATTTGCAGGTCTCCAGTATAGACTGTCTGAAAAGAACTCTTTAAGTGGATTTGACTAAAAGAAATGATTTTTGTTTTAAAGTTCTTAATAAGGAGCATAATAGAAAGGAACAGCTCAATTTATATATATATATAAAACGGTATGGTAAAGGAGCAGTGGACATATTTCCATGGGTCAGAGCACTTTGTTATTCTGTATATATTTTTCATTTAATTAAAATCTACACATTTATAATTCTTTTCTTCATAAATTGTGTTTAACTTTCACCACAGAAAAGATGAGGAACAGGAATAAAAAAGAAACTAATTGAGCATTAACTATATATGATCATCTTAAGTGAGCAAATGTGTCGTCACCATATACTGAAGACAAAACCTCACCTGTAGCATGAGAGGAAAAGTCTGTCCATGTTGTGCTGGTAGCTTTGGTATTGGGATTTGGAGATGAGATGTTTTTATCTCCATCACATGCTTCTCTTCTAAAGTTATCCTTGCTCATTGGAGGTTGTTTATTTCATTATCTACATTAATTCATCACCATTTGCCAGGTTCTATGCAGAACACTGGGAATGCAAAGATAGTAAATTCATCCCTTGCCTTTGAATTACTTACTCATAACAAAGATTTTTTTCTACTATAAACATGTACAAAAAGAAAACAAGCTTCTTTTTCTCTTGCTGATTGATAATTTTATGACTTGCCCTATATTCATACATTCCTGGGAAAACAAGAGAAAAAACTTGCTTTACAATCAGTGTTCAGCAGTTTATTCCTCAAAGCCTGGATTCCTTAAGTTCCTAGAGGCTGGAATTCCACCTCCACTGGCTTTGCTTCAACCTTGGGAATGGTAGCTGTTTCTGAAATCACTAATTAGTAGTCTGTCTCTCTCTCCCTCTACCTCTCCTCCCCACTCACTCTCTCTCTTTCTCTCTCTCTCTCTCTCTCTCTCTCTCTCTCTCTCTCTCACACACACACACACACACACAAATGACCAGACTGTTATAACCACAATTTTCTCAAATCCCAGGCAACTTAGAATGGTGTTTAGTCATATGACAAAATTCTGGTCAAATGGAGCTGAGCCTAAGTGATTTGATGTCCTTAAAAAGAACAGGGAGTTCCCCTAGCCATCCCGCTTTCCTCTCTTTTTTGCTGGAATATGAAGAGGTGGTTAAACCATTCTCAGCCTTTCAGAGAATGGAAAATATCTCAGGAAAATAGCAGTCAGGATAAAACCAAAAGGAAACTGAAACTTGGCTGTATCATGGAGTAAAGCTGTCTTGCATGGGTATGTTTTCAAGAGGGAAGCTAATTTCATGTTGCATAAGCCAGTGTTGTTTTTAGGGCTCTGCAACCAACATTCAAATGAACACTCAGTAAGTACATTTACATAATGTAAAAAAATAAAATCAGAATTGAGGTTCTTAAACACAGTATAGCCATTAATTGATATTCCCTTCTGGGATAATCTCTTTAAGGAATAATGTTTTAGGATCAGTGATCACCTGGATAGCCTTAGGTGCACTGTGCTTTTGTTGCCTTGCAAACTCCTCGGTCAGGTTTACCAGTTAAACTTTTAGGAACCTCAGAGACTTTTCTAGAGAATTAAAAACACAGGATAGCAAAGGGAGCCCTAGCCAAAGCTTGTGCCATCTCTCTCTCTCTTTCTCTGCAACATCCCCACTCCAGCTTACTGCTGTAGTTGGGTGGGCAGGCGATACCAAATAAGGCAGCCTTCTCCTAGAGTTCCCAACAGGAAATGAACAATGAACTGACATTCTTGTGCTTTTAGCCTTCCCTTCAGCCTGTATTACATGTCTCCTCTCTAGGTCTTAGACCAAGAGAGGAGAGGACAGCCAGGTGCCAGCAGTTCACTCCTATAATCCTAGTTACCTGGGAGGCAGAGATCAGGATGATTGTGATTTGAAGCCAGCCTGGACAAATAGTTTATGAGACCCTATCGCGATAAAAACCATGGGAAAAAGGGGCTGGTAGAGTGGCTCAAGATGTAGGTCCTGAGTTCAAGTCCTAGTACCACAAAGGAGAGAGAGAGAGGAGAGCACGCACATTGGAGTGCCTGCCCCTTTGACCTGTATTTTCTTCTTATTCTCTGAATCCTTTAAAGTGGAAGACGTTAGCCTTTCTCTTCTTCCTCCCTTCGCTTTAAATATTCCTCTGGATCACACTCTTCTAATTTTATGGGTGACATTTCACTTTTCTCTTGTCTTTATTGTTAAGATATGGAAAGGTACAAGGAGAGAGAAATGGTAACCACAGTTCAGAAGGTATTTTTAAGTGTTTATACTGGTCATGTAAACAAATGCTTATTAGTTATTCTTTACTACTAGTCACAGAGTTAATAAAGAATCCACAGTGGTTTATTTGTCCCTATTACAGAGCTTGTTTTTTCTTTCTTTCTTTCTTTTTAAAACTTTTTAGCATTTTGAAATGGAGTACTAGGAATACTAGTTCGGATTTCACATGTATGCTGGAAGTCCTTGCTACTCAAAACGAGGCCCATGAACCAAAATCGTGGCCAACACTTGGTAGAATCCAGAATCTCAGTCCCCTCCCCCAACCACTTAGTATCTTCAATTCAGTAAGGTCCTCAGCTGTGCCCATATGAACATTTCAGTTGGAAAACCCTGCTCTAGGCCACCACAGCCCTACTAAAGGTTTTGACTATATTGGCTATACCCATTGTTGGCATTCAGTAAACACTTACCAATCAATTCCACATGTTAGCCGAGATAGCTTATGTTCTTAATCAAGGGTCTTTGTAATTATGGTAAAGTAATTAAAATTAAGATAGTTCTAGATCTAGTTTCCCTATCACTAGGCACACCTTAAATTTTTTTTGACAGAGCTATTAAGATTAAATTATAAGTTATTAAAAGTCTAGATTAATTTTCTTGGAAAGAAGTCTAATGTAGGGAGACAGGAAAAAGGTAGTGATAAAATCCTCAATTGATAAATCCAGATTCATACCTGAAGCCACTGCTTCATTACTACTGATAGGGCTTTGGCCAGTTACAGTTTGAGGAGATTGTAATATTTCTTTTAGGTATTTTGGGGGAAGAATGACAAAGTCACAGTTTTTCATCCTGCACTTTCATTCTCTGATCACGGTGTTTTAGAAGAATCTGGGCTTTACTTATTCACCAGGCTTTCAATAGAGAATCACATTAATCCTTTTAAGCTCCTTATTCTAATGATTTATTTTGTTGAAAACCATAGTGATCCTCCTTTGAATTTTAATGATTGCTGGCTATTCAAAGATTCATTGTTTTGACTTCCTGTCCTTACCTTTGTTTCCTACATGTCTGTGGGGAACACCTGTCTAATACTGGATCTGCCATGGTTCTCACTGGCTTACCAGAGTCACTCAAGCCTATCTCTGAGTGTTAAGCTGAAATGCTGACTACTCATCCATGACAATAAATGTGGGATATATATTTGCAGAGATAGGCAGATAGACAGCAGCGGGACAGATAAATGATTGAGTCATTTTCCTTTGAAAGTAATATTTTAGATCTGAGAGTATATTGTTACCATAATAGAAAAAATGGTTAAATTAGTATTCTCAATCATAAATCTAGTAAGATGCAGTATCTATAGAAAATCTAGTAGGTGAAAAGGCAGTAAAACCTTTACAAAGTACTGACCAACCATTTCTCAATCTGTTAAATGGCAGTTTGCTCTTTTCGAGGACATAATCGTGGTCGTTTTGTTCAGAAAGGGTTAACAAATGGAAATGGTCTGATATGAGCACTGAATTACATGTTATGTTTTCAAAATCTAGAATGTGGCTGTGTCACAGCCTTGAGTTTCTATTTTGCCCTCTGTGTAACCACACAGAGAATTCTTCCCTTCTCTTTTTACAGGTATTCATCTAGGAACATCATGGGTTTTCAAGAATATATTATTCTAATATGAGATTTTAACAACTACACTGTATTTATGCATAATACATTTTGTCCCTTATCTTCAGGCTTCTGGACTTTGATTCAGAATATCAGGAGCTCTGGGATTGGCTGATTGACATGGAGTCCCTTGTGATGGACAGCCACGACCTGATGATGTCAGAGGAGCAGCAGCAGCATCTTTACAAGGTTAGAGCTCCCCTTCCTGCCTTTACCTTGCTGTGGAAGATCTGATTAGCCTGACAAGTCCCTCTCTCTCAGGATATCTTTGCGTTTATTGTATGTATCATGGTGTCTATTAGAATTCCCTTCCCTGTCCCCAAACTCATTTCCATCCCTTGTGTGCTGACAGGCTGCACCGACATCATAATTGCAAGAAAGTTCCCTTTATCACATTCTATTTGGTGTAATTCTATAGAAGGACAAAGATTTATCTTCAAGATGAATAGCAATAAATGAAACTGCATTAATAAATAGACTGAAATAAAATGAAGAATAAATGGACTGGTAACATCTAACAAAATAGGTTTTGATTGGAGCACTCAGGAAGATTCTACCCACCCCTCAGATCTTCCCAGAGATAAAAAGAAATTTGCCTTCATTTTAGCTTGCTGCCACCAGAGTACAGAGCTCATCCAATTTAAGGTTTATTAGTGGCACATTAACAGACATTGTCATATTAAGTCAATACATTTTCATGTGATTTAAGAACACTGACTTGGAACTCACATATTGATTGAAGGCAATCTATTTGATAACTATCTATATTGTATTCCATGTCTGCTAATTCACCCCAAGCCTAGTGTATTTTACCAATTCTACTTAAATTGTCTTAGAAGTTTTTACAAAACAACTATGTGATTTTGACTGAAAAAAAAAATGGCTACAAGATTCACAGAGCCTGAAAAAGCTGCCGGAGAGGGAAGAAGGAATTTCTACTGAAATATCAGACCGCAGTAAATCTTTCTCATTTAGGCAATTTTTATTGGAGTAATTCTGACAGTTGTCATCCTTGAATTGCTTTGAGCATATGGCATATTTCAAAGAGCAGATTGTGAATCATAAAAAATAAAATTAATAACTAACCACAGAATCAGCAACAGTATAATGACAAGAAACAACTACCCACTAGCTTTTTAAAATTTCCTATAGAATTAAGAAGTACATCCAAGGTCAAATAAAAGTTGTCTTCTTTCTGCTTCAGTTTTACCAATTTATGTTACCTTTCCTTAATAAATTATTTCATATTTTGCCTCCTCTAAAGAAAGATGTTTATAGATTTCAAGAATCTGGTTGACTTTAATTAGTGTCCCTTAGGAATCATCTTAGTTAAGCAGAGATATAAGCTCTCCAGAGACTGGCAAATGGGAACATTTTACTCTCCAGAGGATTCTGTTCAACATTGATCAAGTTTGTTTGACTGTTAGCTGGTTCCTATATAGATAACTGTACACATTAACAGTATATCTTCTGGCATAACATACTATTAGAGTAATAATCTCCTGTTCTTCATTTTTGGTTTTGGCAGTTTTTTGGGGTTTGAACTCAGCACCTCACACTTACTATGCAGGCACTCTACCACTTGAGCCACTCACTCTACCAGCCCTAGAATAATAATCTCTAATGTAACTAAAGCTAGATGTTTTCACATTTCTTGTCAGAATCAGGAATTACATATGCAAAATGCTTATAAATCTATATTACTTTAGTGATAGAAAAATATTTTATTTTAAGCCATCATCTCAGAACTTATTGTATACTTGTGATGGCAAATAACATTTCTTCTTCATGCTTTTTGTATTTTGCATAAAGTCAGTATTTTTCAGAAACAGTGCTATTCTTTGTCAAAATAATATCCATGTAATTTATATCACAATTAATAAGAAATCACTGAACAAAAGGTACAGTCTTTTTTTCCTTGTGATTTCCTTATAAATGCTTTGCTTGATAATTCCAGTTCTGGCATATTGAAGGTCATTTTCCACCTAGTCGGTACTTCTTTCTGGGCTATAGTATCTTCCCAAATATTTTTCCATACTACGTTTTTTCTTTTTGTTGTTTTATCATTTTTACATTTACTTACATGTGTATACATTGTTTGGACCATCTCCTCTCCCCCCCCCCCATTCTGTCTTCTTCTTCTCTGATTTTGTTGAAAAGAAAACATAAGTGATAATAAGAAAGACATACCATTTTTGCTACTATGAGGTAAAGGTAGCTATACAGAGAGATTCCTAGCATTGCTTCCATGCGCATGTGTATTGCAACCCACATTGGTTCACCTCTATTAGACCTCTTTGCTGCTTCCTGGTCCCCTTCCCATAGTGGCCTCTGCCAGTTTAAGGTTACTATATTTGCTTCTCTACATTGAGCAAATCAACCACATTCAAGTTTGAGGTTTCCTTCCCTTTTCCTATTCCTCCCTTGCACATTCTCCCCTTAGCGTGTGACCCGTGTCCAATAATATTACCACATTTTTTAGGTCTAAAATCCACATATGAGGAGAACATGTGATTTTTGGCCTTCTGAGCCTGGCTAACTTTACCTAAGATGATGTTCTCCAGTTCCATTCATTTACTTGTGAATGACAAAATTTTATTCTTCTTTGTGGCTAAATAAAATTCCATTTTGTATAAATACATTTTCTTAATCCATCCATTGGTAGTGGGGCATCTTGGCTGTTTCCATAGCTTGGCTATTGTGAATAATGCTGCAATAAACATGGGTGTGCAGGTGCCTCTGGAGTAACCTGACTCACAATCCTTTGGGTATATCCCTAGGAGTGGGATTGCTGGATCATATGGCAGATCTATGTTTAGTTTTTTAAGAAGCCTGCATATTGTTTTCCAAAGTGGTTGTACTAGCTTACATTCCCACCAGCAGTGTATGAGGATTCCTTTGCCCCACATCCTGGCTGACATTTGTTGGTGGTGGTGTTCTTAATCATAGCTATTCTGTCAGGAGTGAGGTGGAATCTTAGTGTGGTTTTTAATTCTTGACTCATGCCCTGTCACCCTCCTTCTGCTTTTAGGTGCTCAACATAGACCAGCACTAACTTCACACTTGGCTTATAAGGAAAATTAAACATCAAGTTAGAAACCGAGGGCAAATGTTACAGTTCTTTGAGAGCCTTTATGTGAGCCCCAAATTATTCCAGAAGTTTGGAAACCACCAAAGCAATCCTGATGCTATTGACTAAGGAGTCATTTTGAATGTAGTATGGCTTCTGAGTTAGAAAAACTGATTGAGGAGAATTAATTTCAGATCCTCCCCAAGAATCCATAAGGATTCCCAGTTTAGGCCAACATTTTCAATATCTTATTCCTCCATTCTAATCTGCTTTCCCAGGAATCAAATAAACTGATGACTTGGGGGCAGAGGATTTTAGCCTACTGATCAAAAAGATCCCTGAGGGAATAAAGCTTTCTAGTTGGTCCCCAGGCCTTCTTAAACTTTAAATACCATTTGAGACTACTAGAATCATCTTTAATCTTTATATTTTTGACCTCCCCAAATATCAATGTTTTATTAACATTTCTTATTAAGAACATTATTGATGTCGGGAGCATACAAATTCTTATTAGTTTATTGGGACCATCCCTTGCACTTTAGAACTACTGGCTATTCATGTTCCCTAGCTATCGCAACAACTCAACAGGACCCCCAACCCATTTTACAGCATTTTCAGTCCATTCTAACATATCTGTATTATCTTCGTTTCTTAGAACATGTGTTCACACCAAGCAAATGTCTCACACTTATATTCTATGCATAAATACTCTGAATATGGTTGATACTGAACTAACGGTTGAGTTAACAATTTAAGAGCTAGGACATAGCTCAGTGGTAAAGAAAGTGCTTGGCATGGGTGAGGCCCTGGGTTCAACACTAGCACCAAAAATAATAAAAAAGATGAAAATGGAACTCATGATATTTGGTACAACCGAAAAGGATGAGAATGATACTTTTAGGAAGATCTTCAGCTGTGTGATAGTAAAATCTCAGGAAACTATGGACCAGGATGGAATCATGGTTCCTACTATCCTGCATTTGAAACTCTTATTCTTTCCATGTGTGTCTCCCTGTATTTCATCACCCAACTCCTTTTCTAGACTGATTGCTACACTGAGATCCAGATTTATGTACTTATGATCCCCATTTGGAAATGTAGTTTAGAGAAAATCTAGTAAGATTTTCTAATAGTCAGAGAGAGTGAAACTTATTTAGCATTTTCAACATTAGGCACTAATTTCCTGATTCTACCTATCTATTGCTATAGAAAAATCACCTGGCTTTGACTCCTAAATATGGAGCTCCAGATGAATACCCTAGACTTTTCCATTCTACAAACCTCCAAGTGGGGCATCTATTGTGATATTTTGTTTATCTAAAGCTGGCAAAATATACAAGAAAAATAATCAGATTTAATAGCCAAAGAATACAGTGATACAACCTGATGTAATTTAGAAAACTGAATACCGCAATGAGTTATAATGTGTAAACCATTTCTTCTTATTTTTCAGATTATTAGAAATTTAAGACCTCCTTCTTTCTAATTAATAGTAAACTACAGGGTTTTGAAAGTAACCTGATTCTTATTAAAAATTAGCCATTCCCTTAAATATATTTTCTTCCTTTTTTTGAGACAGTGAGTTGTCTATCAATGTCTTCCCTATCCCTTTCTCTGTCTTGCTATACCTCTGAATAGGAACCTTCCTTACCTATTTTCTGATAAACATTGGCAGTATTGTCAGCCTAGAAAATACAAACATTGTCCTTTCTCCTTTTTACTTCCTCTGTCTGAGAATCGCTTCCAAGGAGATTTTGCTCCTACTCTCTCATTTTCTTTCTCTTCATTCTCTCTACCTTCCTAAGTAGGACAATTTAATTTGTCAAAAGTAACCACCGTGATTTTGAAAGTTCAGCTCCTATTTGGACTAGAGTTACGAAGGCAGAATTCATAATCACAGGGAGCTGTCACTCTGTTGGTCTGCATGTGCATTAACTATTAATGGAGAAATATTTAAAACCCACTTGCCAAGGAAAGCTTCATTTTTTCATTTCTACAGATCAAAGGTGGCATTATTCTTGGGATTGGGGAAGCTCAACCACCTCCTCCTGCATCCTATACATTTTATAGACTGAATGACCTGGAAATATTTCAGTGATCAGAGAGTCACTGCTCAGGC